CTCTTCACTCCACCATTCCTTAACCTTAGGCAAGAAGTCTGGGTGTGTCAACCACATATTTTCAAACCTGAATGGTCTAGGTCCATTACCAAGAGGTTCTTGTCCTACTTCTATAGGGTAGTGATCWGARGTTATCCTAGGTAGGGCCTTAGCCACCAAACCTCTCCAGTGGCTCTGTCCGACTCCAAGGGGAACCACAGCTGGTTCAGCAAGAGTCGCACCCACTACAGGGGGAAGTGGGGCGTTCACGGGCACAGTTGCTTGAGGCACAGTCAGTGTTGGGATCCCACCCGCGGAGAGCGGTATGGTGAACTGACCTATGCAGACAGACAGGAACTGAGGTTGCCCCCCGGAGACGTTCGCTTCGTTGTTTTGTCCGGCGTTGCTGGAGGAAGCCATGGATTTGATTCTGAGCTTGAGATTTTTGAAATGGAGGCAAAGGCTTTTAGTAGCGAATTCCCACAGACGACGCCAAATGATGTAGCACAATCCGGCTGCTCCCAGCTGGAGGTGATCTGGCTACCAGCAACAACGGGAACTGAGGAACCTGCAAGAGATGAATCAGAGAACTCGGGGTGGCTTACCCGGCGAGGTCACTCCGATGGTTAAGTTAGCACTTAGTAGTGAGCTTGAAGATGATATCAGATTATGAGAGAGCTAGAGAGCAGAGATTACGCATACCTTCGCCCCTGGGGGGTGAGGTCTTTATATATTGGAGTCCTCGCGGGTTTGGTGGAGTAGGTGCAGTCTTTATATGGGATTCGTTTCCGTGTTAGGTGGGGATAACGCCACCAACCGGTAAGGTTGCCCATTTCCGCCTAAATCGGGGAGTGGGTGAGCTAATATAGCCGTTACAAGGCATGATACCGTAAGATGCGAAGTATGGTGATGAGATCTCCGGGGTTGCCATGCAGTGGTTGGTCAGCATTGCCTGAGCTCGTGCTCATTAGATCCGACCTGATATGAATGCCGAAGTGCCTTGGAACCGAGGTGGTCCTGATGTAACCTTGTCCCGAGGTAGACTTGTCCCGAGGTGGTCCGGTTATCCGAGCTCGATCCGTCGCGGACTTGGCGTGTCAGAGTGAGCTGTCGGCCTGCTAGTTTAGGTCGTGTCCACGTGTCCCCCTATTACTAGGTCGGGCCAAATTACCCTTCATCAAGAAGCATGAAAAGCAAGTTGAAGAAGGTAGAGCTTTTAAATTTCCAGCTTGCCTAGATCCTATCTATGGGGGCATACATTCTTAAATCCTAGGGAAAGATGAGCACCCTGATTTACAACATGTTTACCATCTTGTGAAGAAGGAAGAGAGGAGGAGAAAGGAAAAACTGATTTACAACATGTTTGGGGAATTTTGGTCTTTGTACTTATTTAACAAGGGACACTATTGTCTATCCCATTTTATATCACACGCCTTGACCCTGTTAAGCAGGGACAAGGGACACCTCACTCTTTCCCTCCCTCTATTAACACTTACAACACCAACAAACCAGAGTATAGCTTTCAAAAAACTCAACTTGACCAAAAGTAGAATCACTAAAAAATTACAATAGTTCCACTGGTATAGAAATATGGAGAAACTTGACTTCTTTTGTGTGTTTCCCTTTTCACAACCGCATCAAAAAGGTGCTCTATCTATTAGAGAAGCTTGACCACTAGGTAGTTTCACCAACTGAAGTATTAAGATCTCATCATTTTCGGTCATCTCAAACAAGTAAATTTTATACACAAAATAAGATAGAGAATAAGAGGAAAGAGGAAAGAAAAAACATGATCTTAGCCTCTAAAGAAATAAAAAACATGTTCAGTAAACAAACCACATGATGCCCAAAGCATGAACACATCAGACAAAGGCTTTTAACATAGTAGATGCTTAGAATTAATGTTTAAAAAGTTTGTATTTACTTATATAAGTCTCATGAGACTAACAAGTTAGAATTAACATTATAATCACCGGTGGCTTTACCAATCACCTCCATAATGAAAAGAAATATGAAAATGAACATGAGGAAAGAAATCACTACTAACCTTATAATTATAGATTGATTTACTTCATCTGCAATAGAAATAAAAAGAATAAAAAAAATAGGAACCCATGAGAGCAGAAACAATCTCCAAAAGTAATAAAGTAAGCAAATCTATAGCATTTTACCAGACATCCCTGCCCTTCCATGCGTCATTTAGAAGGGAGAAAATTACTCTTAGCAGTGTAGGTACTGAAAAATCAACGTAAAGAAGTTGTATAGAAGATAAACAACCTCGTATCATTTCCTTGATGGCTGTATCTGCAATGGCATACACATGTGGGTTCTCCATGGATTTATGCTTATATGCTTCAATATAATCATTTCCATACAAGGGGACTTCCTTAAAGGGATTGATGGCAACCAATACCGGTCCTGCTTTTGTCTACAAAATACATAGATATGATACCACATGGACTTTAGAGTTTAGATAGGTGAGGCATTTAGCAGCAATTAAGTGAAAATCCAACAATAAATTAAACACTCACATATATCATATCTTGAGTGTATCTATATTGAAGATTGTACAATACTGATGGCTCATTTAAATAGCTAAGCTGCATCAGGTCATCTACACCATCAAGGATATCAGGATTTGCAGGTAATAGATTTTCTGCATTCACCTTCACAACCTGCAGAGAAGGGGAAAACAAGATTGATGAATACAGTGATAGATACACTTGAATAGAACAGTAGTGTTGTTGCTTACTTTTGCTTCAGGAAGCACAATAACAGTCTCAGCTCCTGAAGTTGACACTATCTTCCCCAATGCCCAGTCACCATTTGGAAGCTGACACCAAGATCGCAGCTTCTTCTGAAACAATAAACTTCAACATGTAGGTATCACTAATCAATAGAGAGTATGCCGATTAAGACAATTAATGTCATCATTTTTGGAAAGACCATCCTACAATATATGTTAGAATTCTTAAAAAAGAAATTATGCCCTAACTCTTCATGATAGTAATTGCAAAAGGCATCAACAGATGGATGTGATATGAGGATTGTGTGAACCTACATAATTTTTTTTGTTTCAATTTTTTTAACATAGAAATGCTCACTTTATTCAAATCAGTATAAGGCTATAAGCTAACCTAGAAATGGAAGCCATGAATAAGAATGGCAGATTTTGCATTAAGTATGTGGTAAATTATTCTTTTAATGAATTCTGGATCTGCAGGTGGCAAGTATGAAAGCAAGATTATAGTTTTTGGTAGATTAAGCAATATATAAGATGTCATGCCCAGAACCTAGTACAAGTGTATAACTGTATATTAAGAACCATGAGTGAATATAAGGACATCAGGATCAGGTAAGGCAAACAACGCAAGTAACCCAAAACATCTACAGCCAACCAGGATATGAAGATCCATCTAAACCATCTTTTTTTTGATCGGTAACTTCCCATTTTTATTAATTATGAAAAATAACAATACATTACAAAATGTTTCTGCAGAACACCATAAAATATTTAGAGCTGTCTGTCCCTTCCCTTACATCTATTTCATTTATGTTTTCAAAATTGTAACTCGTATTTAAACATTAAATAGACACCTGAATGAGGTGTGCATTTGAAAATTTTGCTAAGTTTTATTTAATTTTAGTGGTGTAGTCAAAGCATCAACTAGGCATTGACTAAGCAACTGCCTAGGCACTAAAAGACCAAGTGGGTGGTATAGATACAAATAACTTAGTGTGGCAAGTTATTATTGATGTGAGTGTGTGTAACAACTTTGGGTCATTATAACAATCTCAAATTGACAAATGTGAGAACGCAGGTTCTCACTTTTACTGATAAAAAAAAAACAGTTTGGTTAAAAAAAATAAAATGTGAGAACGCAGGTTCGAGTCTGAGCGCAACCACTTTGTGTAAAAATGTCAAAGGTTAGGACTGTATCGAGTCTACCCCTCCCAAGACCCCAGATAGCTGGGACCAACATTAGGTAATGGCCTTTTTATAACTGCATGTGAAGAAAAAAAATTAGGACTCTTAACCCCTATGTGAGTCTACCCCTCCCATGACACATGTACTTCATGCAGAACCAAGGAGATTACTTGAAAATTTTATGCTGTAAGCTATCATTGAATTTTACTACCGATTTATTTTATGGTTTAGTAGTTTATAATTAACATGTAACATAATAATTGTCGAGAGTCATGTATATACATTGTAAAATATGTGTTTATTTATAATATTTACTTTTGTCATTTGTGAGATCTGAAACTCACTTTGCCAAGCCAAGACACCTAGGTGTCACCTGGAAACCTTAAATACACTGAATTATGGTAAGTACTTTCCAAGAAAATATGGGTAGAAGTAGAAAGGATAGGATCGGCTATGTTGTCTGGAGAAGAGTGTTGGGCAGTAAGAAACAACATGTCCAAAAAATGATTGTGGCAAAAATGCATATGCTCAGATGGATGAGCAGAAAAACTAGAAAGAATAGGATCAGAAATAAAGTCATTTGTAGAAACTTAGGAGTAGCTCCAATCAAGGGTTAAAATATCGATTCGATACGCCCGATAGGGGGCGTATCGTATCGGTATCAGACCTGCCCGGCACACGATACGTCACGACTGGATACTTATCCTGCCAGTCATGCCTATCGGTGTGATATGCTAGTGTATCGACGCATATCGTATAGTATCGAGCGATACAACCCAATACGCACCGATACGACAACGTATCGTGCGTCCGCGTCCATGCCTTCGCGTCTCACTTAAAAATTTGAGGCTGGCATGATTCGACCACTGAACCAAAGTTACACAACGACCAAGAGCATGTCTCTTCAACCACCAAGCCACTTACCACTTTTTGATAATAACAAGAAATACATTAACTTTTATTACATTAAAGTCTAGTAGTCTACATACAACCCAAATAAATAATATATATTAATATTCAACAACTCCAACTATAAATTAAAAAGAATAATTTTTAAAATTAGAATTTTATGAACAATGGAATAAATAATTTATCAAATCTACATATACCAAAAATTGATTTTTAATTTCAAGAAATTTATACAAATAAAATTATTATTAATAGAATAATTATTTTAATACTTAAAATTTATAAATTTGCACATTATATGTATATTCAATTTTTTATAAATTATTAATTAATATTTTAATTTGCATTAAATAATAATGTCTACTATTTAAAAATAAATAAAAATATTATTTACAAAATATTTGAGAATATAACATAAATTGAATTGGTCAATTCCACTAATCTACGTTTATATAAAAATAAAATAATTTTGCATTTTAGAGATTTTATAAAATAAAATATTAATAATGGAATAACTATTTTAGTAATTAAAATTTATGAATTTTCATATGATATATATCTTTAAAATTTCAATAGATTTGATATATTTTAAGTTAATATTATATACTTTTATAAATTATTAATAATACTTTACTTTACATTTTATAATAATATATTTATTTTTTAAAAATGAAAATAACATTTATTTTTTATAATAACAAATTTATTTGAGAATTGATTTTTTGTTAATGTTAAAAAATAAAAATAGTAAAATAGAAATATTGATATAGTAATTCAAATAGAATAGTTGTATATGTTTTGTGCATTGGACTTTAATAGAAAATAAAATAATAATGGCTTTATGCATGTATTAATTTCTATGAATCTATATGATATGTCTTAGAATCTTGATTGATGCACTATAAATAAAATTGCATAATATCTATGCATCTCGCTATATTAGTTGTAATATATTTCTTCATATATACCATTAAAATACAAAGCTCCTATTAATTATTTTGGCATTAAACTTAATATTATTAATATATTTATGGAATTTCTGTGCATTTTCCTAGCGTATCCAAACGTTTCTATATTTTTCATTTGTATCCATGCATTTCCTAAGTGTATTTGTATCTGTATCCGTATCCAAGTTGTCCGATACGATACCCGATACCGATACTTTGATCCTTGGCTCCAATAAGTGATAAAATGAGAGAAAGAAGACCGTCAACAACACCAGTAAGAAGAAGTGGTTTGTTACAGTTGAAGGGGCTAGAAGTGCAAGGGGCAAAACTAAAAGGACATAAGTAGAAGTAGTAACAAATGATTTAAGTGCCAATAATTTAAATCATTGGGATAAGGCTTGGATGGTGATGATCATGACTTTCCAAGAAAAGATTAAAATGGGGAAAAAAGGCTATAATCAAATGGGATGAGAAGTGACGAGAGTATCTTTTCAATAACCAACATTTTACAAACTAGTGTCATCTAAATTTGAGTTGTATGTATTGCTTTGTTCATTCATAAAATTTTGTCTAGCATATAACCTCTTTATTGTGATTTTGTAAGAGATTGAACCAATAATAGAGTTCTAAGAGGAACCACCATATACAGACATTGAATTTGCACTAAACAGCCAAAAACAAGACTACTCAGTAAAAACAAACCGCTGATCAGGAACTAGATGCCATCAAAGCACCATGCAAGAAGAGATAGAAGCCTTGGTTAAAAACCAAACTTGGGAAATAGTTTATCTCCCTCCAGACAAGGAGACAGTCGGATGTAGATGGGTATTCACTGTAAAGTACAGGGCCGATGGCAAAGTAAAGAGGTACAAGGCAAGGTTGGTAGCAAAAGGGTATACTCAGACCTATGGTGTTGATTATCTGGAAACCTTTGCACCGGTAGCTAAGATGAGTTCAGTTCATATTCTTTTATCTCTGGCAGCCACCTATTCATGGCCCTTGTTCAGCTTGATGTTAAAAATGCTTTCCTCAATGGTGATTTACAGGATGAGGTATATATGAACATTCCGGCATGTTTTTATGAAAATGTTGGTAAAGGAAAGGTGTGCAAACTCAAAAAATCATTGTATGGCCTGAAACAGTCACCTAGGGCTTGGTTTGACAAGTTCAGAGGGGCACTTACACGTTTTGGGTACACTCAAACCCAGTCTGATCACATCCTCTTTGTAAAGAGGAGAGATGCTTTGGTGTCAATTCTGATTGTGTATGTGGATGATATTGTGGTAACAGAAAATGATGTAGAGGAGATTGATGATCTCAAAAAATTGTTGCAACAAGAATTTGAGATCAAAGATCTTGATGAGCTCAAACACTTCCTAGGGATTGAAGTTGTAAGATCCAAGCATGGGATCTTCATCTCTCGGAGAAAGTATGTACTTGACCTACTGCGGGAAACTGGGAAGCTGGGGACCAAACTAGAAGACACTCCTATTGATCCAAATTATAGAATTAATGTTGTGGATGGTGAGCTGGTAAAAGATGTGGGGAGATATCAAAGAATGGTGGGCCGACTACTATATTTGTGTATGACACGACCAAATATTTCCTATGTTGTCAGTGTTGTTAGTCAACACATGCATGCACCTCAAGTTTAGCACTAGGAAGCTATTGAGAGAATACTTGCATATCTGAAAAAGCACCCTATCAGAGGCCTTCTTTTCTCAAATCATGAGAATTACCCTGATAGACAGATATGGAATCCAACTGTTCCCTCCAAGATTAGTTTTCTGGTTTGGACTATGTCCCTTGATAAATGTCTAACTAAGATTAATGTGGAGAGACGAGGTATTCAGATCCTGGACCTCTCTTGTGGTTTGTGTGGAAAGAGTGAGGAAACTACAGATCACTTGTGCATCCATTGCCCGGTATCCTCTTTGATCTGGGGGCATTTCCTAAAGGCTTTGGAGATTAGCTGGACCATGCCAAAATCAGTGAAAGGAAAGATTGTTTGGAGTTCCATCCCGACAACTGTGCATTGGTCCATTTGGACTGAAAGGAATAACAAAATCTTTTGCATAAGTTTAAAAACCCAAATGAAATTGTGCAGAGAACCATGGGGAAGCTATGTTCTTGGGTGTCAGTGAATGAGGAATTTAAAAACCAGAATGTAACCTTTCTATTATGTTCCAAGTCTTGGATGTACTTGTAATCTGTATTGTGCCTAGGCAGATATAGTGGTCTGGGTCTTGTTGTATCTTTCCTCTTTAAGATGAATAAAATAATTTACCATTTTCCAAAAAAAAAAAAAAGAATCCTATACAGATGCAAACTGGGCAAGGTGCTTAGATGACAGGAGGTCTACATCAGGAGTGTGTACCTTTCTAGGTGGAAACTTGATCTCATGGAAAAGTAAGAAGCAAGCGGTTGTGGCAAGGTCAAGTGCAGAGGCTGAGTATAGATCCGTGGCTCATGATGTCTTAGAACTTCTTTGGGTTAGATCTCTTTTGAGTGAGATTGGAGTAAAAGCAGAGGAACCTATGATGTTGTATTGTGACAACCAGGCTGCAATCAATATTGCTCACAATCCAATTCAGCATGACGGGACAAAACACATTGAAATTGATAGACACTTCATAAGAGTTGCAATTGGCTGATGTTCTCACTAAAGAGGTGGCAAAGAACAAGCTTGAACATGATCTACACAAGTTGGAAATGTGTGGCATTTACTCCCAACTTGAGGGGGAGTGTTGAAGATTAATCAGTTTTGTGTTGTTTTATGAGTAGATGTTTTATGTTAGTTGTTAGATAGGAGGTGGGGGCCACAATAGTTATGTGAGTCCAAATTTTATTATGTTTTTGAGTCTTATATATGTTGTTTTATGTTATGCCACCCTATAAGGGCACAGTTGTCTTTGTACTGCTCTTATATTTTTAGTATAAATAATAAGTGAAGGGGGCAGCCAGATTATTGCTCTCTTTTCTTCTCAAGATCTCTTCTCTTCTTCTCCTTCTCTCTTCAAGAAACTACTTTTTCTGTTCATATTTTTTAATTCAGCAGATTTCTAATCCTTGAAAACCAATTAACTTTTCTCAAAAGGTCCCTGTAGCACCATATAACTGAACCTGGGTTTTTCAACCATCTCACAACAACTTTGGAGTTTCCTTCATTTACCAGATTCTGAACTCCTAGTTGGTCTGCAATCTGAATACCTTGTACAGCCACTAACAAGTCAGCTCTATTAGAGTCTCCTATACCCAGGGCGCCTGAGAACAAGGCTAAAATGTTGTTGTCCTTATCTCTCAACACACTTCCTATCCCAAAAGGACCTGGGTTGCCTTGACTACTACCAAAATTCAGCTTTACCCAACCTTCAGAAGGAGGCACCAACACTGCTGATATCCTGTCCTTCTTGGTATGACTGTTAGCCACAACTATCCAGTTCCTCCAAATATTGTCAAAAGAAAAGGTGTGAAAGGAGTCCAGAGTTCTCAACCAGTGGCTTGCCCAGTACAGCCTGAATGCTTCTTTCCTCTCTTGGAATAGCCTCACATTTCTTTCTTCCCAAATTGTCCACAAAGCAGCTGCTCTTATACATCTCCAAATTGTTCTACCTTTTTTTGTGGGCCACACAAAGAAGTTTTTTAACACTACATACTCAGTCAAAGATGCAGAAACAGATTTGAGACATTTGATGGCAATTCAAGTACGGATAAATATCCTCAAAGGATACTAATGTTGGCTCAATCTTTATTGAGAGCAATAGGCAATCTATCTTCCCTCCCCCCCCCCAATTTTTGCTTTTCTTCATGCCTAAAGAAATTGATAGAGGTAAATGTATATTGCAAAACTATTATAATACAACATTTCTTTGTTAACTGCACCAAGCTCTCATCCAAAGGCATTACTAGTCTCTTTTATTTACTCCCTGTCCAGATCTATCCTGAAAGTGCTTGACTAGTTTCCAGCACAAGAAGTAATACATGCTAATCATCTCTCCACATTTCCCCATATTCTTGGAAAACCATGTAGCATATGCCTGACTTTTTCATTGACATCAGATCAAGAAGATGACATTTGGGGAAAATAATAATGAGGAGGAACTACCCCCCCCCCCAAAAAAAAAAGTAAATAAATAAATAAAACAGACACAGAGAACCAAAAATGGTGTTAGCAGGGGTCGTACTCATTCTAAAACATACAACTATTACAAATATAATACCACCTGAAACCTTTGAAAAATAAATTTGCCCTCCCCACCACGCCTTCCCCAGATAACCCATCGGCAAGGGAGCTTACTGATCTTGGAACCTGTTTGAGCAAACTGTTCAAAGAGGATGGCAAAGATCAAGCTTCTCAAATCAGGTCCTTAGAATCCAAGGACCATCTTCAATTGAGAGCATCCATCCAATAATAGCTTGGAAATATCCTTCTACTTCCGTATCTTTCTTTTAAATCTTTAATATAAATATTATTGTTATTGATCAAAAAAATCTCCTTCTACTTTCACCCTTTCCAAGCCTAAAGCAAAACCGAGCTTTAAACCTTGAAGAACATATAATTCTGCCTGTATTGTGTTGTATTCATCAATCAGTACTGAAAATCTTAGAATCAGCTCACAATCAGGTCCTCTTTGAGTACCCCCGACATCCGATGGGCCTGGATTACTCAAAGAGCATCCATCAAAGTTGAGCTTAATCAAACCACTCTCCCATAGTTAGGTTGCACATTGTCTATGGGAAAAAACTAGCCATAGATTGCCATCCTCTAGGATAGTATCCAGATGGCCAACTGTTAAGCAACCCAGTCAGTAAAACTGTCACTTTGTAACATAAGTCATAAATTCCAAATTGACTTAATCTAATCGGTTTAGACATGCATTGATGGCTTCATATTTGCAGTACAGTAGTGGCAGTTTACTAGCTTCCTCTATTAAAGTAGATTCATTGGTGAAATTTGAAATATAGGTCTACTATGTTCTGGTAATATCTTCTTGTATTTCTTGAAAAAGTAAGAGAAACAATGCATATGAAGAAATTATTGCATCCTTTGTACATGTGGCTTTTATGATTATGCGAGTTCCAGCAACAAGGAAAACATTTTGTCTTTAGAGTTCATTAGTAAGTAGTAGCTATAAGAGGAACATGTTATTTTCTTGCATATCTTGCACTTTAGGAGTTCCTGGAGATATTAAATTTCAGATGTCTACTCAGCAAACAGTGTGCAACAAAACCAGAATATATATATATATATGTGTGTGTGTGTGTGTGTGTGTGTGTGTGTGTATGTGTGTGTGTGTGTGTGTGTGTGTGATAATCAATCAAATTTAAGAAAAGAAGTTTTGAGCTTTTGCTGCAAATTCGCGAGGTAAAAGGGAATAGAATAACGGTAGAAACAATTGCCTCCAGTAAATAATTAAAAGTTCACATTCAACATTGGTCAGGGATATTACTTGAATTCACTTGGAAAAGGAAATGAACTAAGAGTACACCTATATATTGATCCATACTCCAGAAAAATAAAAGTGGCATAAGGAACCACATATATGATATACCTTCTTTGCAGCGTAAAAGCTAGTGTCACTCCATCTGGATTCAATACCAGATGGAGATTTCGTAGGCAAAGGAGAAGTCATAGAATCCATGCACTCGTCACCTTCTGGTGGCCTTTCTTCCAACAAAATGGTCTTCCTGCCATAAGGAGAGTCATCAACAGTTTGCTCCACCATATTATCAACAGTATCCTGAAGATCTTCAACAACTTCACCAACTGAAACTTCATTCTCAAGAGCACCAGGAGAAATCCCATTTTCAGTGGCTCCGCTAGCCGCATCAGGACCATCATTTTCAGGAATACAAGAAGGAACTCCATTATCAATGCCCTCACTATCATCATCAAGATCTTCAGTGGAAGGAGATACAGGTGAACCCGTGAACCTATAGTCAATAGGCAATGATCTAATTGACTTTAGTGTAGGCGGTGAAACCCGAGCTCTCGGCACCGGCTTTCTCGGCATCTTCTCAGAAGAGCTCCGCGATCCCGACTTCTCAGAAGAACTTTTTGATCCCAATTTCTCCAAGGAGCTCCGGGGTACAGATTTCTCAGCAGAGTTTCGCAACCCAGGCGAATGCCTCTCATAAGAGCTTCGCAACCTAGGTGAATGCCTCTCAGAAGAGCTCCGCAGTCTTGGTGAATTACGCTCCATCAGATCAGATAAAGATCAATGAGGGAGGAAAAGGAGAAAAGGGTCCCCTTCTTTTTCCTCAAAAGGAACCTTCAATGTCCCACCGTAACCTATCTGTTCGACAAAATGGCGGGGACCCTAGTGTTAGAAACAGAGCGTAGTACTCTTCAACTCCAGAATCACCAACAACAAGTTCCAAACAGACAGACACATACACCGTACCAATTCAAAACAATCGACGATAGTAACCCAAATGAATGAAAGTACCAAAAATCTCGCCCAGACTGCTTCCACTCCAGTTTTACCTTCTCTCTGGGGAAAAAATGAACAAAATATACTAAATCAATCCAAACTCAGAACACCAAACTTCGTACTTGCACCTTCTCTACCTGGAAAACCACCTCGACAGCTTTACTGGAGATTGGACCAGAACTTCAGCTCTTTCATCTGAAACTGCTTCACACGACAGATAAAGTGAAATCTCCAACAAGTCCTCTGAAGGTTCAACAACTTCTTTGAAACCCCAACTGATCGTCAACTCCAGAGTATGCTTCAACACCTTTTGGTAATGTTCTCCCCCAAACCGATTTCAACCACAAAAGAACACTTGAAAATCTAGTAACCCTCTACAGATCTACTTCTATAACTCGATCTAGAATCGTACAGAACCTTCAGCAAATTCAAAAACGAACTAAGAAAATGAACCAGAACCTTCAGCAAAGAAAGAACTCAAGAACCTCGAAGCTCAACTAAAAATGAATGCAAATTCTGAGCAAAGCAACTCGGAACTCCGGGCGACTAGCTTCTGCACCAGGAACTCGAGAATAACCAGAGGAATCTCTACACCCACAACTCAAATTCACGAAAATCGTTGAGAGATTCCGAGGATTGAAATAGTCGATATCGGTTAGTAAACCCGGAATTTTTCCAGTGATTCATTCAGACAGAATTAATTTATTTATTCTGCGACTCGATCTTCGCTCCTCTTCGTATGGAAAAATCCAAAGCGTGTGGAGCGAAGCAGCTTTTGCTTTTCTTTTTTATTCTTTTATTCACGCACCGGTAAAAGAATTCCGTCATCCGAGTTCCAGGTTTTTATTTCTTTTAAAACATCCAAATGGAATTTCAAAATTAAACAAAATGACGATAAAGCCCTCTTCTTTCTTCTAAAATGGCAAAGGCATTCTAGTCCCCCTTGAGGTTGAGAGGCTCTAGTAACCGCTGAAATAGCTGAACTGATGATTCAACTGAATCACTTGCAGAATTTTAGTAAATAAGACAATTTTAACTAATAAATATTTTGAGTCTGGTAAGCCATTGTCATGAATATTTTGTCAATAAATTTTTCTAGATTTTTGGTAATAATTATTTTCTAAAAATTAAATTTTCTTCAAGTTTTCATCGGAAATCTTCATTTCCTGAAAAGAAAAATATGGTAAAAAAAAAATAGAAGATAATAAAATAGGTAAAAGGTTACTAGGAGTATTTTATTTATTTTTTTTATTTAGTGACGATAGTGAGTAATTATGGGATTTGGAAATTACGGAAGTTATTTCGGAAAAAAATGATGACGGGGGTATGTTTGTCATTTAAGAATATAATGATGATTATATTGGGTTTGACATGATGAGAAGGAGAGAGAGAGAGAGAAACAGGAGGGAGTTAATCGCGGGACCCGTTTTAAACTTGGAGCGTTGGATCAGGACGGGATGGACTGTTGATGACGGACACGAGTAACTGTTCTGACGCCATTACGCCACGCTATACGCTTTGTGGAAAGTCGGCATAAAGGGTCTGAGACTTGTCTGTCTTCGCTTTTTGAATTGTCGTTTCCTAGCCGTTTCGAATCGGCTGTCACCAGACTTAGCTCGGCTCAGCCAATCACATTCACACTTTTCCGGCTTTCCCTCCTTTGCTCTTTGGAGCCGTTAGAGGCGGAATCGGCGGAGACTGGATCTGCTCCTTACACCGGCACATCCAACTATCCATTAGGAACATCTCCCGTATTTATACGTTATTATTCACGAGAAATGTTCCGTAGCAGATCCCAATTCGAATCGGCGGCAATGTCAAAATCCATAGAAATGAATTGGATACGGGTACATTCAAATTTGATTCGTTTTACATTCGAATTCAAATCGTATGTTATCCATTGGATTGGATTTATATGCGACAGGAATTGAATTCGGATTGCAAAAGGGTATTCAAATCGTATGTTACTAGCGGATGGGTCCTGCTTCCCAGGGGTTAGAATGGAACTCTCGATCTGTCGACACATTGACTTGGTTTTTGGCCAAAAATCGTTGAATGGGTTAATAATTTATTGATCTAAGCAATCAAATTATTGATTCGTTGACTTGTTCAAGGGTTTTTTACTGTTTTTTATTTTTTTAATTAGCCATTTAGGCAATTGGTTCCGTTTTATCCTAATCTTGGTCCGTAGCCAAAAATCGTTGAATCAGTCAACGACCCATTGACCCGGGCAGTTGAACCGTTGACCCGTTTAATGGTTTTTGGTTATTTTTTTATTTTTTAATTTTTATTATCAGAACAGGCCATGCATTCGAATTGAACAGTTGAACCGTTGACCCAAAAATCGGTAGACAAAATGATTATATTTTCAGGTTGTATAAGTCACACACTCGAATGACATAACATGTATGGTAATGCTTAATGGACCTCACACACTCAATTTTTTGCATGTAATTTTTGTTATCATAATGGGTTGTCCGTTTTTTTTTAATTGGAAGCTGTCCAGGAAACCAGTTTTGTTTTACCCCAATCATAGTCACTGGCAAAAAACCATTGAATTAGTCAACGACCCATTGACCTGAGTGGTCGAATCGTTAACCCATTGACCTGCTCAATGGTTTTTGGATTTTTTTTTTTTATTTTTGTTGTCAAAATGGGTCACCCGTTCGAATCGGACGATCGAATCGTCGACCCGAAAACCAGTGGCCAGAACGGTTCCATTTTTTGGTCGTACGAGTCACACGCTCGAATGGCGTAACATGTATGATACTACTCAATGGACCTCACACACTCAATTTTTTGCTTGTAATTTTTGTTGTCAAAACGAACTGTCCATTCGAACCGCTGACCTGAAAACTGGTGGCCAAAACAGTTCCATCAATTTTTGCTTATAATTTTTTGTTGTCAGAAGGGGTCGTCCGTTCAAACCGAATGGCAGAACCGTCGATCCAAAAATCGGTGGCCAAAACGGTTCCGTTTTCGGGTCGTATGAGTCACACACTCAAATGATATAACACATATGATACTACTTAATAGACCTCAAAAGCTCAATTTTTTGCCTATAATTTTTGTTGTTGGAATGGACCATCCATTCGAACTGGATGATCGAACTGTCGACCCGAAAACTGGTGGCCATAATGGTTTTATAATTTTTTGCTTGTAATTTTTGTTGTCAAAATGAGCCATCCATTCGAACTAAACGGTCGAGTCGGTTGAACATTATTAACAACATTTATCAATAATAGTAAATAATTATACTATTTAATTAAATAATCATTAATGATAGTTTTAATTATTAAATTTATGAATAGGATTTATTAACAATATTCATTAAATTAATAATTGCCAAAATTAAATTAAATTAACAGTATTTATTGGTAATAGTCAGTAATTATAATATTTATTAAATAATCAATAACAATACTTTTAATAACATTTTTAACTATTTTGAATATAACAATAATTACTACATTTATTAATAGTACTTATTAATAACAGTATTTATAATTTTAATTTAAAGTAAATATCTATTTATTAACAATATTTATAATAACATTAATTATTAATTATGATAACTAATTATATATTTATTAAATTACTGTAATAATCAGTAATTATTAAAATTGGGTTACTAAATTTATTAACAGTATTTTTTAATAACAATATTTANATTATATATTTATTAAATTACTGTAATAATCAGTAATTATTAAAATTGGGTTACTAAATTTATTAACAGTATTTTTTAATAACAATATTTATAATTTTAATTTAAAGTAAATTTAAAGTAAAATTAAAGTAAATATCTAGTTACTAACAATACTTATAGTAACAATAATTATTAATTATAATCACTAATTATATATTTATTAAATTACTATGATAATCAATAATTAATTTAAAGTCCAGGCACAATTTGTGCAGGCAACATTCGCGCATTCGGAGGACGCGCCACATGTCCTCTAAATCGTGTGAGGTGCTGAAACGTGCGAAAAGGCTTCAACTCCGTTAGTGGTGTCTACCGTTAGTCTAGGTTAACCTAGACATGAGTTCAGCTCCTCTCCTCTCCTCTCCTTCACAGACTTACGCTCTCTCCTCTCCGCCCGGCAGCGACTACAAAATCATCACCGCCGGCAACAAACAATCATCACTGGTACTGGATCAACCTCAAGTATTGTGTTTTTTCCATTTCATCTTCCTTGCATCTCTTTTTCTTCCATGAAAACTAACCCTAATGGTTTTGGATGGCAGCCATCCACCCAGTGGTGGCGATTGCACAACCATCACCGGCGATGAAAGAAGAACCTCGGGTATTGTCTTCTTTGCATCCCTTCTCAACGACAATTTGCACGATAAGTTGATAAGTTGCATTTCCCTGTATGAATCCATGGGTATTACCAAGTAGGACTTGGATTTATTTGCTCATGTCTCGTCCTACCTTAATTTATGGGACCTTGCTCGATGATGAGAAGTTGGAAAACATTTGCAAAACTGGGCTCTCCAAGGAATCCAAGATGTACAAGTAGGTGCTCACCCTCATTGTTGTATCACGCGTGGAGACCACCTGAGAAAAGATGGGTAACCTTGAGAACTATGGTTTTTCATCAAGGCCTCGTTCTCTTTTCGACAAGTTACTTACTTGGGTAAATGCACTTATCCGGGTAAGTGTTACCTACCCGAGTAAGCGCATTTACCCATGTTCTTTTATTTCTCATGTGAATAAGGCAATGACCATTTTAGCCATAAAAATCCATTATTAAAAAGGGCATTTTTGTTTCTTTCAAGTTTGTCAACTTTTCCCTTAGGTGGGAAAGTTATTTACCCACCTAGGAGAGTAAGTGATACTCAGGAAAATAAACTTTTCTTGGTCCCCACATAAATCTGAAAAAAGAACATGGGATTCTTGGTCAATGGGAATCAAAATCCCATTGACCAACTTTCCCCCCTCTCAGAATCCGAAAAAAAAACGCCCCCCCAAGAGATGAAACAATGAGTCTAATATGTCACTCTCCTTTGGTGCTCAACCTCTCCATTGACAAGGTCCAATGGGTTTGCCTCAGCAGATTAAAGGGCTATGTTGAGAGCAATGGGAATGCTCGAGGCCCAATTCCTTTAGAAATTTGTTACAGGTCACACCAAGGATATATCAAAGCCCTTGATGGAGTTTTATAAAGACACAAAAGGTAAGAGATTGGCAAAGTCCTCAAAGCAGGTCGCATGTTGGGGGTTCTCTTCTTGGTAATGTATTGTTGTATCCAATCTGATATGATCATTTATTGGTAATTTTACAAACTGATAGATTAATTTCTACCAGAGGTTGATCCGCCGCTTGATGATTGTTTGTTACCGACGGTGATGGTTTTGCAGTTGCCGCCTAGCGGAGGGGAGAAAGCGTGAATCTGCAATAGGAGAGGAGAGGAGAGGAGAGGAGCCGAACTTGCGTCCAGGTTAACCCAGACTAACGACAGACACCACTAACGGGGTTGAAGCCTTTTCACACGCTTCAGCACCTCACACAATTCGAAGGACACATGGTTGCGTCCTCCGAATGCGCGAACGTTGCCTAGACAAATCGTGTCTGGATTGAAGTCGAACTCCACGATTGATACTAAAAAAAAACTTATAGAAATAGTAACTAATCATGTGGGTTTTCATCACAATTTATAGAACTTGTGATTGGTCAAAGCATTTTTTGTATTATATTTTTTTATAAATAAATAAAATTAAAAATATCTAAAAGGATCTTATTTAAAATTCATTGGAACTTTTTCACTTTTCTCTTAAATTTATCATGACTTTT